TCCTCTTGTTCCTAGTAGTATGGCCAGGAGCCCCTAGTAGCGAACATGGCTCCTAGTAGCGATGCGTCCTTGTTCCTGGCCAACGCTAGAGTTGGTACATGTCAGATGTTTGAGGCCCTTGGTTTTGACCACAAAGCGAAAAAAACATGCGCAATACCGCCGGCAAGCGACGAGAACAACACTACACACCACATAATATGTCCATGTGGGCCAAGACTCTTTGAGAGCAGCTGCCTAGTCTTCTTCTGCATCTCCATGATCTCTTCATCTGGAGAGTCCTGCAAGCAAAGGGGAAATGATATTATAGCTCCTAATAGGAATGGCCTCCCTCTAATCATGATGGCCTAAGAGCGAGAGATGATATAGCTCAAATGTGTCCCCCTACATGACAGTCTCATAAAGGGAACACATGTTTCTTCAGCAGTTTTGTGTCATCCTTTGGGTTTCCTTCAACCAGAGGAGACTCAGGTAAAATTGCATCTAGTTCCTGCCGTAACCATCGTAGACCAAGTGTTACAGCGGCATTGTCCAAAGTGACACTACCTGAAGCACATAGGTTATGGGGGGATACCACCAGTTAACACTTTTGCAAGAGAAGCTATATACTGCACTTTTCCCGAGCACCTAAAAAGACGTGCCCGTATTAACTCATCATGTCGGAGACCCCGGTTTGTAGTTGATTAAAAACACACACACCACCCCCTATTAACAAAAACTCGGGTGCATTTCTTTAAATGAGGGGTCCCTGAAATCAGGGTTGTCCAAAATAGGGTCAGTGGGAGGATCCTTGAATCATTGATTAACCAAAAAGTCACCCAGGAAAATTACAGTATATATATATATGATTATACATGAAAATCTTTATTAAACGTTTATCAAACATTGAAAAAACATCAAGATCGAAGGATCTTCCTTTTCCCCTTACAAAAAGCTTTATTAAAATAGTGATTCTTCATTAGACTAGCAACTAAAGATTTGGAAAGGTGAGTCCGCGCCATTGGGGGAAGGAAAACCTGCTGGAGTAAATGCGGCGTGTCACGGTAGATAGACAGGGTGGACAGAGGTGGGCAATTGGGGTTGTTTTTGGAACCTAATAGAATATAAAAGAAAAATAACTCCACCAAAATCGGCCATGTTGGTAGTTTAGTAGCGGCGTTAAAGGGTTTATCCTTGCTTTCTCTTTTTTTTGGCCCCTTTTGTCCTTTTTTTTCTGTTTTACTCTTGTTTCTGTACAACACTACACCGCGCTACGCCTCCTCGATGTCAGTCGCTTTGATGGGCAAACCTTTCTCCAGCGCCGTCTCTAGCTTTCCTCAGATTGAGCACCACAAAGTCCGTGCACACAAAAACAACGCAAGACAAACATGTCCTTGTTACTAGTAGCTTCTTGTTACTACTAGTACGGCACTTGTTACTAGAAGCGATGCACTTGTTCCTAGTAGCTTCTTGTGCCTAGAATCTTTGAATTGTCTTGATCCTCTGTAAAATTTCGCTTGTTTCCGGTGTTTCTGGCCAGCCAGCCAGATCCGGGCTTGGGAATTTGTACCCATTCTCTCGCGCATGACTCAAAAAGACTGCCATGGCTCGACACTTCCTGCCAATTCTACATTCAGCAAGTGAAATCCTTGAACTAGGTATACCTAGTAGCGATGCCCTTGTTACTAGTAGCATCCTTGCTACTAGTGGTAAATATGTAGAAACTTATCCAAACAACTTGAACGTTTGGGTATTTCGCTGTTGGGTCTTTCAACAATAGACATAGACCATTTGTGATCATGGCACCACTGTTTTGTTGACTCCACTCAGAGTCTTTTCACCTCGTGCAAGCGACAACCCTTGCGAAGACTTGCGCTCTACTAAAACCAGCTTCTGAGCAGGGACAGTCAAATCGGCCAAATGGCCCAAGTGGCCCAAATGCTAAGGTCCTTTCTTCTTCAACTTTTTGAGTCAACTTTGGACATGGTAGCGATGCCCTTTGTTACTAGTGATTATGATGACAATGATGGGTGCTCGTTTCAGATGCAAACATGGCGCTAAACTAGAGTCTCAAAGGCACAGCCAAAGCCTTTGTTTCGAGAGGAGTCCAGCGAGTGCTTTGAGCTGTTTGTCTTTTGGAGCTTTCCATCACAAAAGTCCCAAAACATCATGATCTAGAAAGCGCGCCGTTTGAAATACCCGGAAGCACAACTGCTGCTCATACATCCTTTTGCTTTGGCAATGGATTCAAAGCATTTGTCTCGTCGCTGGTGTGCTAGGCGTACTGGAAGGAGTGCGAGGCCTTGTACAACAGCAATGCACGTGTGGCGCGTGTGCGACTAACATGGCCACGTGTGGCACACATTGTGTCCTCGTAGCCAAGGCACGTGTGGACTCCTTGATGGATTCCAACTCGAACTCTTGGGCTTTGCACCTGACAGTAGCACTTCTCAAATCTCGCTCTTTCACTTTCTCTATCTTCCATAACCACCCGATAGCACTCATATGTGGTGATTCAGATATGATCCAGGAACTCTGTAATTACGTCATACTGGAAGAACTCAGAAGTAAACGCTACCATTTGTTGGGATGCCTTAGAATTGCTAACGAGTCCCGAAGATCCCGATTTTACCAGGCCAGTTCCTGAAGTTTCCCAGAAAACCTTGAAACCACATCATTGGTGCGAGCGCTATCCTGCATCCAGTTAGCTTAAATAGCTAGTAGCTTACTCAATTATAAAAGAACTAATAGCTTCTTGTTACTACTAGCAAGGCACTTGTTACTAGTAGCGAGGTAGTAGCTTACTCAATTAAGTAGGCGCCTACTTAAAGGGCCTTTAGAAATCGGCTTCAAGACTTCGGTGCGAGTCTCCTAGTCCGTGCCTGATGGTTCCACATCGGGGCCCTGACTCAACCGGACTCGACGTGAAACAGTATGACTTCACCTTCAACCGTAATTGATTGTATCTGTCCTTTGTACTGTTTTTATCATGTTTTATCTGTCCGTATGTGCAATTGATGAGACTTGTCCGATGAATAAGCAAGCAACTTTGTCTTTGTTCTCGAAGACTCTAATCTGCAGTTTGGAATGCCAGACTTCTGCCGCAAACTTTAGCTCGTATATACTGGTTCACAAAAGTGGAGGCTCAACCAGCCGGAGAGTCGGAGGAGCCACCATGACTTTGGAGGGTGGCACCTGAAAGGCTTCTCATCTTGCCAGTAGCTTCTAGTAGCGTCCTTGCTCCTAGTAGCGATGCCCTTTGCTCCTAGTAGCGAACATTGCTCCTAGTAGTAAGGCCAGGAGCCCCTAGTAGCGTCCTTGCTCCTAGTAGTGATGCCTTTTAAGGCATAATGGCCTCCAACCTAATAGCGATGGCCGGAAAAATACCAGAAACAATTGTCCGCACTGTGCAGGTGGCTATTGAAGCACATTCTTTCGATGGACTTTTGCCCGGTTGGCCACCCTCCATCTGTACTCGATCAAGCTACTCTACGATGCCTTAAAAGGCATCGCTACTAGGAGCAAGGACGCTACTAGGGGCTCTCGGCCTTACTACTAGGAGCAATGTTTGCTACTAGGAGCAAAGGGCATCGCTACTAGGAGCACGGACGCTACTAGGGTCGAGTCGGTCGAGTTCAACTCAGTTTTTGCTGTCCACAGCAAGGTCATTGCAGTGCTCAGAGTGCAACTCGATCGGCAACTGAGGGCGATCCTATTCCAAATATTGAGGCAGTGGGGTCTTCGCTTCACTTGTTCCACTTCAACGGTTGCAGCGCACAAATAGAATGTTCCAACCGGAAGAACTGAATGAATGTTCAGCTAATTTTTTGAAGTTGACCCCGTCGTCTTGAAATGTTGATTTTGTGAAGTCCCTTTCAAGAAATGAATGCACAGGGAATAAGACAAATCTACAGTTATCAGAGTTATCAACAATTCATTGCTTCTCGGCTGCGAACACTTAGCTCCGGACAGAGGCTGACCTTGACACAACTGGAGCAATGCTGTAGGCGTGGGGTCTACCTGGCGTGGGGTCTATAGCTGTGACCACCAAGATTGGTGACATGAGAGGGTGTGCAACATGCATAGTTCACTGGAATTCATGACCTGTCAGCATCCTTGGAGTGGCATGCACGGCATGTCTGCTACAATGCAAACATTACACATCTTGGAAGAACATATGAAGCGACTTGCAACCGACAAGGACATGAAGTTTCGGTGTTTCAGTTTTCCGAAGTCTGATGTGAAAAGAACCTTTAGATTAGACAAACAGAAGGCCGATCGTGGCGTGCCAGCGCCCATCGCTACCAGTTTCTTGACACTCAAAAGTAAAGCAGAACTGTAAGTTGAATCACAACCCTCTGCCTTGCACACCAAAAGAAATGGTGAGATGGAAAGTCTGTGCAAGTGTGTGTCCTCATTGTGGGTATCACGATGTCCAATGTATCATGCGAGAAGGCAAAGAAAGATGTGCGTAAGCTTGACAAGTAACACCAGGATCAATCTACATATGAGTGCCATGTCACTGAATCACCTGGTACCATGTGGGTCTGACAACTTCTTCAAGCAGTTCTTGCACCCACACTGTAGTAACCCCTTGTCTGTGGGATTTTCCTTTCCAGGCTCTGCACGTAAACAGCTTCATCACATATCATCAAACAAATCAGCAAAGCAAGCTACCTGGAAGACGCACCACTGGGATTGCATGGCCCACAGTATTTGTCGTCGTCTGTGTGCTTGCGCACACCATCTTGTTCTCCTCGCAGTCACTATGTTCAAATGCATTCAAGCGGCAACAAGTAAATCCAGTCAAACATTCCCTGCTTTATCACTGGTGCTCAGGGAATAAGATGGAATGAGGGAATGATGAAGCGTTCTCCACCTCTCTTCTACTGGATCAGCTTCGGCAACATGCCCCTGCATTCCCTGAAGCACGAGTCAGTTGCGCCTGCATTTAGTATCCATTTTAATCAGAATCAACATACTCGTTACAGTTGTGCCGTGGTTGCAATTGCTGCCCTCTGTTTGTTACGTTCTCTTCAGTTGTGGATTCTCTTGCGGCCTCACACCCTGAACATGACCGAACCGACCAACTCGGTTCCGACCCCGGAGACCCATCGGCTGATCGGCCTTTGGGGCCGACATCGCCGGTTGAGAGCTTTTGCACCTCAGTTCGACACCAATCCGAATCACTTCGATAGAAATGAATGGTGACAGCCCGAAGCAGTCACTGTTGTTGGATGTTCTTCGCGTGTTAGGGTAGGTTTCTTTTCATGGACCGTTGGAAGTGAGAAAGTTAGCCAGGAACCGTCAGGCGTTCCTATCTAAATTGATATAGTTCCTATCTCTATATATACTCTCTTGGTCAAGTGCTCAAGACTGGCAGCCTGGTGCTTGATTTGGCTCTACCATTTCTTCCAGAGATTAAAACAAATTGTTCCAACAGCAAGTGCCAGATCGCAGTGGGCACTGCCGGACCCGGTGCCACGGGACCTCAACAGCAAGTGCCAGATCGAGTACTACCATACCTCAACAGCAAGTGCCCTATTGCAGTGGTCAGTCTCGAACCTCAACACACAACATACAATCAAAAACACAACCGTAAACACACAGCCACAAACACAATCGCAAACACACAACCAGAAGCACAATCACAAAAAAACAAACCGCAAAACCCGCGACCATGGCAACACGCTCCTCACCATGGCATGAAAACAAATGATTGAAATTTCATGACGGAGATCCTTCTTAAGCAATGAAAATGTCACAGTTCTTTCCTACTAGTAGCAAGGGCCTTGCTATAGCAGCTAAAAGCTACTAGTAACAAGTGCATCGCTACCAGTTTCTCATCTCTTAGATGATTTTTTTCATCTCGGAATCAATCCGACCGCGACCTTGGCCCCCAAGGCTCGCACTGCGCAATCTGCGGCCGTTCGCAAGCAGTGTTTTTCGCTTCGCCGTTTTTCTCGCGCTCTGAAAAAGATCAAACAGGTTCAACAAAAACGTCTGTTGTGGCGAATCTGCATGGAAGTCCATAAGTCGTCAACCTTCGGCGCCTATGCCTTCCAAAAGCGATCTGGTTCGACAGCCAGGGCCACCACATTTCCATAAATTTCCATCAAAATCTAGCAACCCCTTCGCGCAGCAGGGTTTTAGCTTCTGTGTACTATGCAGCTACCGAAGCCTAGAAACTTGTTCATTGTCGTCATTTCCTTCACGCCAGCCTTGGCGGCATCTGCAGCCTCACGCACTGCTACCGCGGCCATGGCCACCTGGATCACCGACAACCGATGAACTGGCCTCCGAGGTCTGTTGAGACTTGTTTCTTGAAGGCGCAACAACTCAACATTCAATTGTGTGCATTGTTCTGAAGAGCAAAAAACACCTATGGGTATGGGTTCCTCGGTTCCAGGTACACTCTGTAAATGATAAAATATAAAATGTTAAAATGCAGAAAAATAAAACTTTTGACTTTTGTATTTTTCAGAAATACAACTCTTCAAAAGATCCGAAACTGCAAACAATATTCAAGGGAATTGCCACTTGGCACGCGTTGATATGGGTGGGATGGGAAGCTGGCTCCCTGAGCAGCATCTCGTAGTTGTCGGGTAGCCTGACCACGTTTCGCTGGTTGTCAAAAAAATTGTTTTGCCGGTTCGCAGTTCGAGGATGAACATTTGCTTTATAGATACAAAAAATTACGACTTCTTTCGTCTTTTTCAAAACACAAAAAGTGCAACCACATTCTTCTTTCACTTTGAGTGATCACCACCATGACATTTCAATCGGACATTCTTTCTGATACTCTTTCTGGCATATCTTCTGGCATTCTTTCTGGCGTATCTTCTGACATTCTTTCTAACATTTTTTCTCGCATATCTTCTCCATATCTTCTGACATGATTTCTGACATTCTCTCTGACAGTGAATCTGGCATATCTTCCGCGGTTGGGGTCCAGCGGCTCAGCAGGGAACACTGCCGTCCGGCGCTGGCGGTTGAGGTCCGTCGTGGAACACTGCCGTCCGACACTTGCGGTTGAGGAGGCGAGGAGGCGGAAAAACTTCGACCCGCGAAAAAATTATCCAACAAACATACCGAAAAGCATAATACAAAAACAGCAAACAACATACAACATATTGCAATACGAAAAAATACAACCGCCCCCTTCCAAAAAAAAGATATCCCATCAAAAGACCCCAAACAGTGTGTGTGTGTGTGTGAGGTCTAAAAGCAGAAAGTGTACAGATCTAGACGCATTGGGGTCCAGAGAGGCGATGGTGGTGATGAAGGTGGGGATCGTGGTGACGGTGGCGGTGGTGGCGAGTGAGTGTGAGTGTTAGTGGGAGAGTGAGAGAGTGAGAGTGAGAGTGAGAGTGAGTGGGTGTGAGTGTGAGGGAGTGTGAGTGATAGTGAGTGTGGATGAGAGTGAGTGTGAGTGATAGTGAGTGTGAGTGCGAGTGTGAGTGAGAGTGACTGCGGGTGAGAGTGAGCGTCCGTGAGCACACAGCGCTGCGCCTGCACGGAAATCTGCACATGGAGGTTCACAAAGTACTGCGCGTGCCACGAAATCTGCAACTGCACTTCGAGCTTCACCAAGCGCAGTGCCTGCCATGAAATCTGCACTTCGAGGTTCACAAAGCGCTGCGCGCCACAAAATCTGCACGTCGAGGTCCACAAATTAAGCGCTGTGCCTGCCACGAAATCTGCGCATCGAGGTTCGCAAAGCGCTGCGCCTGTCACGAAATCTGCACGTCGAGGTTCACAAAGTGCTGAGCTCCTCGACGATCACGACCATGTCCAAAGTATACTGCGCCTGCCACGAAAACTGCACTTCCAAGTGCAACAGCTCCGATCCCTGGCGCCTGACTTTGAAGCACCAAAACACGAGGCCTCCCTTGCGCCTGCCACGAAAAGTCCCCACACGGCACCACAACGAGAGCGCAGTCGCTAGAAGCACCTGCCGCGGACACCCAGATTCAGCGAGCCTGCGCAGTCGAAATGCACTTCGAGGATTTCGAGAAGCATGAATGTATATAGTATATACTGTAAATAGCAGCGAATTTGCCGGTCACGGCCGCGCGCCCCAGCGACCCACGCACAGCTGCTTCTCTACTACCGCAAGAAACCCTTATTGTGTCCACAGTCCACAGTGTTTGGGGAAAATTAAATACGACCTGCGAAACAAAAACACATACAAAACTTGCCGAAACGGGCTGCGAAACAAAAATTTGCAAATTTTTCGCTTTGCTGATGCGTCGACGAGGGTGGTTGCCGATTTTGCGGCCCGATTGCCTTTTGTTTTATTGCACCACAATATCAAAAAAGCATCAAATCGAGAAAATACTTCTTGAACACATTGTATAGGACAACGTGACTCAAATTTAAACTACCTTGGTGGGTGCTATTTGCATTGTGGCCCTCATTTGAGTATGTCGTTTGGAAACCAAAACCAAAGACGTAGAACCATACAAAATACTGTGTGTTTCAGTCTGGTCTAATTTCTATACTTTTGTCTTTCTAATGTTTTGGTGTTCCCTAGTTCTCTACCTGAAATCCGGGGACTCAAAGTTAAGGGTCGAAGCATTTATTGATATTTATTGGTTCAGGGCTTGCGGGGTCTTGGGATGTTTCTCCAGTTCACCTCAGTTTGATATTATTGTTAACGTTGCGAAAAATTAAACAAAAGAATGCTTTATCAGTGCAGAAAAATGTACTTTGATGCGTTCGCATGCGTTTCGACCCACGCGCGAACCCGTTTCGGTTTCTAGCAGCGGGTCCTGCCCTGGTGGCTTCATCTTGCAACAGACGTTTCGAGCACACATCATGATCATGTCAGGCTGCTTCCCATAGTGAACTAACTTTAAGATCGGCAAGGACCAGCCAAAGCTGATCAGACAACATGTGACAGCATGCCATCCCTGGCGTGACATGATGTCCTCCCTGGCATAAACTGATGTCATTCCTGGCGTGACATGATGTCATTCTGGGCCTGACATGCCCTGGCATGACATGATGTCATCCCTGGCAAGACGTGATGTCATTCTGGGCATGTCATGATGTCATCCCTGGCATGACGCAAAACGAAGCGCCGATCCAGAGGCAGCATCAGCACGGCAGCAGCACCCGCAAAACCAAAACGCCGATCCAGAGCCAAGCCATTGAGAAGTTAGAACTTAGAACCCCTTTAGCCTGCAGCTATCTGGGGAAATATTACGTAGATCCCCTCAAGAGGCACAGCTGGAAGTTGAACCACGGGTGGGTGGAGGGTTAGCCTGATATATCAGGCGGCTTTAAGGCTCGAAGCTCATCCCAATACAAAATTGCTAAAGCAAAAAAGAACTCAGCTAGCATGCTAGCTTTCGTGAAAATGTTGCAAATAATATTGTCTGCGCAGTGGATTCTAAAATGGTCCTTCATTGCATACTGGGATTACTTACCTCCCTCTCTCTCACTCTCTCTCTCCCCTCCCTCTCCCTAGTCTGACTTTTGCACAAAGTGCACTGCGCATGACTCATTACGCCCAAAGACGCAAAAGGACAAACTGCAAGAAGCAAGGGATGTTTTCTAAAGCAAAGGCCTCACGTTTTCTGTGCTTAGGTGCACGCCTTCTGGTGCAGGGTGCGATGAAGCTCGGCAGCCTGACATGTCAGAGGTTTACTCAACGCTACGCGTCGACACTCGAGACACTGAAGATGTCAATTCTCGCTAAGCGTCTGGCCTTGGCATCTGGAGGTTGTGAGCCTTGTTCAACTAGTCTCGAATCCCTTCAATTCACAAAAACTGCTACTAGGAACAAGAGGACGCTACTAGGGGCTCCTGGCATCGCTACTAGACGCTACTAGGTGGCTCCTGGCCGTATTATATACTAGGAACAATGTTCGCTACTAGGAGCCTTCAATTCACAGGAGCTGAAAGAGTTTCCAGGCCTGGGCCAAGATCGTCGGTGTTAGCGGCGTTGACATAAGGTCTTGTGACCTAGCAAGCCCAGTTAACCGAACTCTGCGAGATGAATAGATTTACGTGGGTTCCCTTGCAACAAACCTGCACTTCATCTGATGGATTGAGTCTGGCAACTTTCCAGGCCTCTTCGCGAATTCCCTCGCGTTCACTCCGTGCCCTGGGGATGCTGTGGGAGGACACCCAAGGAATAGCGGTTTTCAATCTCACGTTTCTCACTATGGACCATGACCTCGGATGATTATCGACGTTCATATCACAAACCTCGATAAAAATATGCAAACTATTTTAGTTACTATCAGCGTTCTTGCTCCTAGTAGTAAGGCCAGGAGCCCCTAGTAGCGTCTTTGCTCCTAGTAGCGATGCCAGGAGCCCCTAGTAGCAAACTATATATTCCGTCTTCCCCTTCCTTTTCTTTGTTTCTAATCGTGATGGCCTCCAACCTAATAGCAATGGCCGCTTCTGTGTCGAAGAAATAGAACAAATGCAGCAGAGTCCATGATATGCATGGATGGTCTTGCCTCAACGGAGGCGTCGCTTCCTCTGGCATCTCCCTGGACTGGCATCGCATGTGTTGTGCAATTGAACTCAATACCGCATGCGTCGAACATCTGGTTGAAGTCTCATCATACCCAAAATTGTTTCCATGCAACGACACAAGAACCAATACAACTTGAACCGTTAAAAAAAGAGTTTGTCTTTGTGTGGATCGAAAAAACGGAAAGCACATCGCTAAAATACATTGCTATACCAGTGCTGAAATAGTGACGTTGCAGTATCTATTGCTGTCGAAAACCAACGCAACCCCCGAGCAGTCACCCTGCTACGGTAGCGAGGCTAGCCAGTCATGCTGCGGGCGCCCGCACGGCACTGGACGGAGATCGCCAAGCCTTTGACAGGATCAATCTTAAGAGGAATAGCAAAAGGAACCTACTAGCGATGGCCTGAAACCTAATAGCTTCTTGCTCCTAGCAGTAAGGCCAGGAGCTACTAGTAGCATCCTTGCTCCTAGTAGCGATGTCCTTTGCTCCTAATAGCCGAAGGAACCTAGTAGCGATGGCCTCCAACCTACGATCACCGTGAATGGATGGCTTTCCGTTTCAAGCTTCATGAAGTCGGGGTTACAGGGCGAGCCACTGAAAGCTGAGCAACGGATTAAAGCGAATGACAACACCCTGAGAAGTCTGCAGTTTAGGGGAGGTTCGCGATGTCTTCCAAAGCACTTGGTTGAATACTTTCGGGTCTGACAGCTGTGTCGGTGAAATGTATATTGTTCCCTTGGCAAAGTTGACTTGAAAGAACACTTGTTTGGTGAAACCGCATGTTTGAGGGTTCTAGTGAAGCGTTTGGTGAGCGGTTCCATGTCATAAAAGCCGAAACACTTCGCATGAACAAAGCTACGCAAGACAATGTGAACGTTCATAATCTAGTGTTTGTTGCCAACGCCTTCTTGGATGGCAAAGTTGACACGACTGGTGGAACATAACAATTTCCTTGGGACAACTTCAGAAATATCATCGTGCTACTAGTTTGGAGGCCATCGCTATAGTTTGGAGTCATCTACTTTCAACATCTTGAACCAAGCTCGTTTGATTTTCCGAGTGTTGACCTGAATTAATCCTCATGCAGCCACAGGGGAGCGTGCAAAGTGGAGAGTGCAGCACAGCGCAGAGCAGCAAAGTCGCTGTTGAGAACTTGAGTCCAAATATAGTTTGCTTGATGTGGCTTCTGTGAAAACAAAGAATAAGTGCAATTTTTGACAATATTTGACAATATTTTTGTGCCACCGACTTTTTCACGCTAGCAGTGCTGTGTTGTCATCATGGAATGCACTTATTTGGACCATTGCTTCTTGAAAGAGCTTGCCCCTTGCAGATAGCTGGTGTGCACTAGCATGCCTTGGAGGTCTTTAGCCCAGTAATGACCGGGTGGATGTACATTAGTTACTTTGTGGACGCGGCCTGATTGCGCTCGTGCTGGAAGCCTTACTTTATATAAATGAGACGCGCAAGGTATGCTCTCCGGAATGATGCGTGCTGAAGCATCATGCGCATAAGCATCCAATGGTGAGAAAAAAATACAGCAAACGTTTGGAATGACACATACACAGTTTCCCCGTATAATATGGAGACGTACGTGCAACAAAAGGATGCAAAACAATGGTTTCTTTACGTCATCCAAAAGGCCTGGAATCCGGCCTCGTGGGTAAGCCTTGCGTGCTGGCACCACCTAAGCTCCATCTGATCATTTCGTTCCGATCTAGGCGGCTCCATCTGGTCTTTTCCTGGACCATGTAGCCGTGTATCTATCTTGGCAGCTCCAACCTACTAGCAATGGCCTCCAGCCTAATGTATCTCTCGAATAACTGAGAGTGTAAGATACGCTACGTGTGATGTGATTTGCATGAACTTTGCCGCTCAACTTCTGAGAAGGGTCTGAGAGATCAAAACCTAGCCCGAATTCTAGTTCTTACTTTGTTTGATTCCGCAAAACACCTTAGAAAAATTATGATCGATTCACAGAATCATGTCCAAATCAAACAATGCACGTCTCTCCAACCTCTTCCAAAGCCTCTTCCCACTCTCGTGCTTTGTGCCCTCGCTGATGAACAGGGAAAGACCACCAGCAACAGGGCCCTCCAGCAGTGGCCTGGAGATCCCAACTTTGATTTCGGCTGTAAGGTGTTCTCGGATTGTAGTAGTAACAAGTGCATCGCTAGTAGTAACAAGAGCCTTACTAGTAGTAACAAGAAGCTATTGAATTTATTTTAATTCTAATTTAATTCTAATTTAATTTGTTCAATCCAACCTAAATAGCAATGGCCTGCAACCTAGTAGCGATGGCCTCCAGCCTAGTGTTCAATGTTAATACAGTTTGATGGGACTTTGATAGTACTTGCAATGAGCATTGAGAAGTTCCAGGTGTAAACAACTTGCAAACTCCTCTAACACAAACAAGAAGCTACTAGTAACTTGAGGCCGAGGGTAGGTGACGAAAGCTAGCAGGGGTGCATCCGGACTGGTGGGACATCAAGCGGAGTGAGGCAAATGCTCATGAGGTAAAACGTTGTGAACATGTAAGACACACAAACAGCAATGACACAGCCAACCTTTGAATTGAAGTCCCCGATAATTAAGGAAGCGTGGCTGGACTTTGCCACACTGTTCGATGCATCCGATGTGTTCACGAACCTGTGAGCTTGTTGAATCTGTTGCACCGTATCCCAAAACCTCCACGGAGGAGTTGAACCAGTGTGGACGCCATAAGAGGTGTCCAAGAGGTGTCCCACGGGGGGGGGGGGGGGCCCGCCCTACATATGAAGTTTTCCCGTGATGCGGCGATCCCGAGGATTCCAGCCCCTCACTTGCTAAAGCAAGGACAACTCCAGCTAGCTGGCGCTAGCTTTCGTGACAAGGGCGAAGGTACCATTCAAACACCTTGCCTTTGGGTCCCCAAAGCTCATCCTATGTTTCCCGGCCGCCCCTCATGGTCACGCGGTGAGTGTACCGTCCTTGTGCCAAGTTCCAAAGTGTCAAGAGACGTGTTTAAAAGGAGCCTAATAGCTTCTTGCTCCTAGTAGCGAGGCCAGGAGCCCCTAGTAGC